TCTATCTACCTACCCACCTACCTACCCACCTACCCACCTACCCACCCACCTACCTACCCACCTACCTACCCACCTACCCACCCATCTATCTATATATCTGTCTATCTGTCCGTCCGTCCATCAATTACTCATGATCAATCAGAAAGCTCCTGACTTCTGATCAGTCAGTTCCTGATTTAAATATCTCATGCTTGGACAGTTCTGGTACGACGGCTTGTGTTTAGAAAGGTTAGACTTTTTGGTGAAATAAAAAGCTTGTGGTAGGAAAATACATTTATTTTACAAAGATATTAAGTTTGAAAGCTACATTTGAGAGGACATGGGACTGTGCTGCTGGATGTGGAAATAGGAACGTTTTGTTAACGAGATTATGATTTAGCACTTTCCACTTATCCCACATTGTAATTGCGATCACAGTCAATTTCTGGCTTCCCACGATTAAGTAACGCCTTTACGAAGCTCAGTGGGTGATTCCTTTCTCTTGTGCTATTACCATTCATATAAACCCAAGTGACCCAATGTGTGTCCAACTAGTTTTCAAATATAACTTCTCCTATAATGAATATAATGGCCTGATAATGAGCAGAATAACTGTAGAAAGAGAGAGGTGGCAGCAGGTAAACAAAAAACATGTTGTGAAACTTACCTGTCATGTCCGCCTTCAGGGCCTCTGCCTGTCTGCTCGGATGTAAACAGAGAGGAGGTTAGACAGGCACACACACACACACACACACGCACACGCACACACACAGAGCTGTTTTAGTGGCTACGTGTTGATTTAAACCCAAGCTACAACTACCATTTGGGGACAATATAGTATTATATCTAAACACATCTCTACATCTTTAAAAATGATTACAATATCACAGCCAGTAGAAATGGCTTATGTGGGTTTAGTGCAGTTGTAGTGTGTATCTCTCTCACTCACACACACACACACACACAGAGTATGTGACAATGCACAGGTGACTAACCGAGCTACCAGATAAACCTGACAAACAGCCACCATTTACATCCACTCTTTAAATAATCTAACATCTTATATCTTCTTATCATTCATCACATGCTTCACAGTGTTGACATCGGGCTCGGGCTAATCCCTGGATCCAAAATGCGAAGAAATAAAAAACAAACAGCATCAACACATTCCTCACAAACCCGTCAACTAGCTTATCAGTTTACGACACGTACACACACCGCTAAATACGCTTAAAACGGTGTTAATTCACCTATAAATGACATGTAATGTCACAGCATCAGCTAACCTAAAGCTATCATACGCAGAAAGACAAGCTAAAGCTAAAGCTAACAACACAATGTCCATCCGAAGCGGCAAAAGTGTCTTTATATCAACAAAACGGCAGATAGCAGACATTTAGTGTGAATAAAACGCCACCCACTTGTATGAAATGACATGTATTTGATTTGAGGTTAGAAGAGGGATGGCGGGCTGCAGCATCGATTGTTTGTTGATATCTGGAAGCTAGCTCATGGGTGTATAAAGAGAGAGAGGCGGAGCATGAAGACAATAATAGAGCGACTGGAGATACAGAAAGTACCCGTATGTGGGCCCACTGAGCATGCGCAGTTGAATTTTCCCCGCCTCCTATCTCCCGCTCTCTGTCAGTCAGACGAGTGGAGTTCAATTAAATGAAGCTAAAAATATTATATATTCATAAAACATAATATTAATTTAAAATAGATGTCTCTCTTCCAATATAAGTCAATGGGGGGGGAAGTCTGTTTGGGGCCAGAATGACGTCACGGCTGTAGTACCACCGTTTGGCCGCTACGGATATTCCAAATATGGGCTTCACCGGCCGGCGCACTTCCTGAGGGTTTGAGCTAAAGCTAGGTTAGCCGTTAGCTTTAGCGTTAGCAGCAGAACAAAACAATCCGGGATCAAAGGTCCGGTTCCGACCGCACCGGGACCGGCAGGAGGACCGGAGGACAACCGGAGGAGGACCAGAGGAGAACTTACCGTAGATACTGGGCGCAGAGGTTCATCCTACCGGATCTCCGGTCCTTCAGACAACAACTGGTCCCGAAGCTAACGCTGCTCCCGGCGCCATCTTGTTCCTGTCTGACCCACACAGAGGAGGAGGGAGGGGGGTTGTTCACGGATGAGGGGGGGGGGTAGATGTGAATTTATTAATAGGAGGGTTAGTTGTTTTTGTAGAGGATTAGGGCAATATGAGAAAAACATGTGTGGGGGTGTGAACAAAGGGTTTAAAAAAAATGTAGTTCTGATTTTTAATTAATTTTTTTATTAGTTTAATTTAATCGTTTAATTCCTGAATTTTTAGATATTTCTTTGACTTATATTAACATCTGACTTTTTATTTAAAAAATCTGAGATTTGTGACTTTTTTCTTCTGCTTTTTAAAGATTTTCTGGACATTTTTTCCAGATTTTTAACCTTTTCAGAATTTATAATTTTTCTGAGAATTCTGACTTTTTCTTAATTTTTCTGACTTTTTAGGAGAAATATTCTGTAAAAAAATATGTTTTTCTTCAAATTCAGTTTTTTTCTTCGGTTTTCGGATTGAATTTCAGAAAAAAGTCAGAATTCACAGAATGTTGATTTCTGACTTTTTTCTCAAATTTCAGATTTTTTTTTAAAGATTCTGACTTTTTTCTCAGATTTCTGAACTTCTTACCAGAATCTTTGTCCATTTTTTAATACTGACTTTTCTCAGAATTCAGACTTTTTTCAGATTTTTGACTTCTTTCGACAAATCTTCACTTTTTTCAGAATTCAGGATTATCAAATACCCCATCAGCCCAGCCACAAACGTTCTGTCTGCTGCCGTCTGGAAGGCGGTACCGCAGCATCCGGACTAACACCACCAGACTCAGGGGCAGTTTCATCCCCCAATAAGACTCCACATAGGCTTAGTGGTTGTTAGTCCAACCACCTAAGCCTAACCATTCTGGCCTCTCTACTTAATCCTACATTTCATCTCCACAAACAGCTTTACTATCTGACCCTTTAATTCAAACCCCACTGAAGTTAAAGGGGACCTATCATGCAAGATGGCACTTTTGTACGTCTTTTCTACATGAATGATGTGTCCCCGGTGTTCCAGGGAACTCACCAAAGTGTCAGAAAACACAACCCTCTCTATTTTCCTCCATACCCAAATCTCTAAAAAAGGGGCATGCAACGGATCTGATAAAACTGATCCAGATTTGAACACTGTCCTGACGTCAGGACGGTGGCGCGTTACGGCTATTGGGCCAACTCCACCAATCAGGAGGAGACAGCCACGGCCATTGCCGTTCCAAAGCGCTGGAGACGCTTGTAGTACTATATGCCATGCCTGTAGATGGTGCTGTTCTCACTGAATCTGCCCTTGCTAAAACAGAGCTAATATTTTTCAAATTGAGCGAAATGAGGCATGGCTAAAATGCATGATCTGTTTTGGTATTTTGAAAAAAAAAAAAGTATAAATATGCCTTATATAGGTATGGTCCTACACTATATTATTATAATATAGCATGATATGTCCACTTTAACTAATGTTGCGCTTTTACCTAATCTTAAAACTCGGATCTAATATATAAATCCACATTTTTGCTACTCACTATTTTCATTCTGTTCTTTCTTTCTAACCCCTTCCCATCTTGAGCCCCCTCTGGGTCTTACTAGAGGGTAGCGGGTTAACAGAGATTCCCACCTTGGCAGGGGAGATGTTTCGCCGTATACACAGCTTACCTCCTCGTCTCTGTTCTTCAAGCTTACTTTACCTTGTCCACTTTACACCCTTTCATATTTATGACTCAGTCAAAGTTCAAAAGATAGGGGAAGGCCGTGAACGCTATGCGCCGGCCCGTGCCTTTCCTTGGATCTCTGTATAAACCACAAAGTCGTTGGGGCGACGTGGGGAGGTCTGGTGGCTATTTCCTAACTTAACTAAAAACACCTGAACTTTGAAACAACATCCACAACATTCATCTGGCTGCTACTAGAAATGATTTATCTAATATATCATTTTCCAATCACTTGTATTTAGACTCTTATTGCACTATTTCACTATTTCACTTTTTTTTACTAGATTTTCATTGTCATAACTGTAGCTATGTACGTATGGCCAATAAAAGCCTTTGAACCTTGCCACCTTGAACCTTGAACCTTGAATTCAGACTTTTTCAGAAAAATGTGTTCTGACTTTAATCTCAGAGTAAATATTTATTTTTGGAATTGTTTATTTTGTATTCAAATGTATACTTCACAAAAATGTTTCCTATTACAATTATTTGAATCAAGGTCCAGTTTCATTCATTTACATCAATCAATCGTGGCATCAATTTGCATTCCACGTTAGTGTGTGTGTGTGTGTGTGTGTGTGTGTGTGTGTGTGTGTGTGTGTGTGTGTGTGTGTGTTTTCTACTTTTCTTAGTTTGCATATAATACTTTAATGTCCCCTATGGTATTTATGGGCTTAAACACTTAGCTACTAAAACAGCACATATAAAAGATGAACTATGTCTTATCCCTGTATGTGTGTGTGTGTGTGTGCGTGTGTGTGTGTGTGTGTGTGTATGTGTGTGTGTGTGTCTTTTAACACTGTTTCCTGCCGCAGACACACCACCTCTCTCTCTCTTCTCTATTCTCTTCTCTCTCTCTCTAGCTCTAGATATTCGCTATCTATCTAGCGCGCTCTCGCTCTCTCTACTATCTTCTCTCTCTCTCTCTCTCTGCTCTCTATCTCTCTCTGCACACCAACGAAACCTCGGAAACACCGAGAGCAGGACCGGGACCGGGACTTTACCGGGACACACGGGAACTCAACCAGAGGAAGAGAAGAAGAAGAAGAAGAAGAAGAAGAAGAAGAAGAAGAAGAACGAAGAAAGAAGAAGAAGAAGAAAGAAGAAGAAGAAGAGACAAAATGACAGAAAACAACAAAACCCACGTCATCATGCTGTCCTGCGGCAGCTTCAAACCCCCATCACCAAGGGACACATCCATATGTTCGGTGAGCATCTGTGTGTGTGTGTTTTATACATCACCAGAAAACAATAAGGGGGGGGAGGGGGGGGGGGGGGTGTATATACAAGATGTCTATTACCTAAAACCTCCATAAAATCATCTACATTTCAATAAAATCCACGAGGAAATGAAGGAGTTGTGTCGGAGCTGTCCAGCGACATGGTGCTGAAATGGGCGACGGCTCCTCACAACGGGATAATGCAACCACAACAAAGATGCGAGAACAGGATAAAAACACATTCATATTATAATTGTAACCCGGTTTATATCAATGTGAAGCTGCTTTAAGGAAGATAAAAAGATGGAAATGTCCCGGTTTGAGGCTCCGGAAGGCCTCGGGCGGCGTGTGGCGCAGCGCCGAAAACAAGGCTCCAAATCCCGGGTAGAAACATTGATGAGAGCCCGCGGGGAGACATGGAGCTCCGCGGGATTTCATAATGAGTCAGCCTTCATGAGGGAAAGTGAAAACTGCGGGGAAAACACGTGTATTTCAGAGTTTGTGCGATGGTTGCAAACCAAAACAAAGCTCCTAATACTTCATGATGTATTATTATATATATATCGTTGCAACTCAACTGCTAAAAAATATACAATTTCTTAGAACAATAAGTATTGTTTCTAGATGCTTTACTGTTTGTTTGTTTTTCTGTTTGTATTTTACATTTATTTAATGAATTATCTTTTACTTGGATATTTAATATTTACATTTTCACTATATATTGTATTTATTTGTTTATTGAATTTGGTTATATTATATGTATTACTGTTTTCTTTAGTTGTACAGTATGTATTATCTGTATTACCATCTCTCTACATCTCAGGTGTTTGCCTGCATTTACCTGACTGGGGGAATTTAAACTTAAAAACCTAAAACTAAAGAAAATTAAACATTTATTATATGTTTTTACACTTTAAAACTCCTGACATTTTAATAATATTGACCCTATAATAAACAGACAGAGCCTACAATACACAACCAGCACTGAACATGATCAGAGAGCTGATTTAGGCCCCGGCCACACAGAGACGAAAACGAACCATAGTCGATATCAAAAAAGTCTTCCGTCCACGCGAGACCGCTCGACCCGCTGGAGACGCTGTAGTACATATGCCGGGCCTGTAAGTGGCGCCACAAAATACACCAAAAGCAGCGAATAAGACCCCCCGAGCATGGTTGCCATGGTTGCCTGGTTGCCCTTCTGGTTATTCTCCGCGGTGGATTTAGCAACATGTAGTTCATGTAGCTCTCCAGGTCCACTTGTTGCTGATGGTTGTGGTCGAGGAGCTGTAGACGTTGCACTAACATCCTGTATCACGGTCATAGCGTCTGGAGCACGAACGCAACCCTGTGATCCGCCATTGTTGTTGTTGTTGTTGGCGAAACGCGGGGTGAGCAGCAGAGGGTGGGGAGAGGCGGGGCTACGATAGGAAGAAAACCAAATGTAAAAACAGGAGAGAATAAAACCTTATAGCCACAGACTGAACACATCAACACATCTTTTATATGAACAGTTTTCTGACATGTTATGTTTCAATATGCTAATGAGGCGTCATGTGATGCATCTGATTTCTGCAACACAAACAGACAAAGTCAGGGAAGTGAACTCGTAGATTCGGACGTTTTCTTTCCACTCTGACGTAGGAAAAGGTCAATAACCGGTGCATGGAACTTGTGTTTGTGCCTGTAGCGCGTTGACGACAGTAATAGTTTAACATTTGAATGAAGAATGAGAAGTCAGTGTGTTGAGGAGGAAGTGCAGCTGACTCATGATGAGAAACACAATCCCTCCGTCCCAGAATCAGACCTCTGAATATCTGACGATCAAACGCCAGACTTTTATTTTGGAGGTCAGTGTTCACGTTAATTTGTCCAGCGAGCAGCAGCATCCATGTTCCCATCGTGACCTACTTCCTCTTCTTCCTCCTCTTCTTCTTCCTCGTCTTCTTCTTCTTCTTCTTCTTCTTCTTCTTCTTCTTCTTCTTCTTCTTCTTCTTCTTCTTCTTGAATGTGATGACTTTACAGTGATCACACAGTCTCTTAACTTATGAGAGCACAAGTCATTTCTCCTGAACTCTGTGAAGAACATCCAGAACATTCATCTGTTTGCATCTCATTCATTATTTATCTGTGTCTCATATTCCATGTACTTGTATACAGACTCTTCGTGCACTATTTCTATTCTATTTGTATTTACGTGCACATCTCAAAACATTCTCTTGCTCTATTTGATCTGTTCTATGTCCTATATATATTCATGTTGCTCTGCTGGAGGAGGACTTCAGTTGTTCATCTCCATATCTCCTCTGTAGCTGCTGAGCTCACGATGAGAGAGACTTGAAACTTGAATTTTCTGAAAAAAAGTCCAGAATTTTCAGAAAAAAGTCAGAGTTTTTAAGATTTTCAGAAAAAAGTCAGAGTTTTTCAGTTTTTCGGAAAAAAAAATCTGAATTTTAAGATTTTCAGAAAAAAGTCAGTTTTTCAGTTTTTCGGAAAAAAAATCTGAATTTTCAGAAAAAAGGCAACATTTTTAGATTTTCTGAGAAATGTCCAAATTTATGAAAAATGACTGTATCTATCTTTTATTTGATTTATCTGTTTGATCTGTTTTATGTCCTATATATATTCATGTTGCTCTGTTGGAGGAGGACTTCAATAAGCAAGTATCTTGCTTATTTCTCCTCTGACACTTTATCTTTACAGTGACCTGTGTAGCATCCATCACATGGAAGTGATTATTCTGATACCATCATGTTTCATCAGTTATAAACTGGCGAAGCTTTATTTATTGTGTCCCACCCCAAATATGTGGCTTTGAAAAAGATCATTTCATTGTATTTCAAAATGGCGTCCATCAACACAAGCACTATTTATAGAAAGAGAAATGGTTAAGTTTGTAATTACCAGTGTTGTGAGTTCAATATTTTTAATTAATTATAGTAAGGGAACATCTTAGGAGTTAGTGTAGTGAGTTTCAGAGCAGTGTAATAATTATTTGACCTAAAACTAAATGTTTTTATGAACATGGGGATTTGCTAACTTTTGATTTCCCCCATTTTACACGACACAAAATGGAGGCCACTATGAGCCACAACTAACACGTAGGTTTCTGTAGGGTTCATGGCAGACGGATGCAGTTGCTCTCAGGAGGATATATAAATAATAAAGGTGTGTTAGCTGCTGAGCCTATTTAGTGTGCATACGACACACCTGGCACAGTTTATTAATTTCACACGTAGCGTAGCGCGTGCATGTCGTCGTCCAATCCTTTTGTCAATCCTTCTTAACCGCCTTCGCCTCCGAATCAGCATTGCTATTGCATTTGACTGGTCGACGATCTGTATTTGTGTTTGCTTAAAGAACTCAGATGAAGCTCGTGTCTGAGGTCGGAAGGTAAACAGACGCCTCATATACAGCAGGTGGGCGTGGCAGTATACGCGGGAGGTTCTTCTTCTTCTTCTTCTCTCGGTTTTTTGGCGGATTGCAACTTTAAGGTGCATACCGCCACCTACTGTACTCGCCGTGAAGTTGTTTGCGGCCTGCCAGTAACCCAAAGCAGAAGAAGAAGAAGTGACGTCAGCGGCTCGCGATCTGCTTTAGTTCATCAGAACTAAAGAGCTCTCATGAACTAAAGTTCTCATGAACTATTGTGGGAAAAGTACTTGGTGTGAACGCGCCTTATGTGACCGTCTGTGTTTCCTGTAGTTATTGAATTGCTCTTCTTACTGCTCTGTTAGTGAACAGTTGTATTATCATGCTGCTGAGTTTATTGGATTTTTGTACAACAACTCTGGCACAACTGTTTCCTTTGAGATGAATAAAGTCCTATCTTATCTTATCTTCACGACCCCCCACATGCAAACCCCTGATTATTGTCAATGCCAATTATTTTGTTGATTACTTTCTTGATTCAAAAATATATGTTTCTTTGTCTTTAAATGTCAGAAAATTGTGAAAAAAGGTTAATCAGTGTGTCCACGTAACATGCCGTACTCAGATGTGTCGTTTTATCCACAGAGACATTTCATTGACCTCCTGATGAGCGGTTAGAACATGGATGAGTTCAGTTCAGGACCTGTACCTGTGTTGGGTCTTTCAGTTCTCCTCATGATCCTGACATGTCTTGTGTGTCTGCAGAGAAAGCTCGAGAGTATCTGCACAAATCCGGACGCTTCATCGTGATTGGAGGAATCATCTCGCCGGTGCACGACTCCTACGGGAAGCCGGTGAGTCCTGAGAATACAACCACTATTATTTAATAAAGACGAGTAAAAAAAACAACTAATTTTATGTCAGAGAATATCTAAGATTTCTCTCTGATAATTACAGCTTATTTTTTATTATTATTATTTATTTTTATTTAGAATTAATCGGTTTTTTCTCAATTTAAAAAGTTTACAAAAGAATATTTTTCAAGTAAAAATTCAAGTTTTTTCTAAAAATTCAAGTCTTCTTCTAATTTTTTTACTTTTTTCTCAGAAATTTAACTCTTTTTCTTCTCAGAAATTGACATTTTCTCAAAATTATAGTTTTTCTTCAGAATTTCATTTTTTTCTTAAAATGTCATTTTTTTCAAAAAATTTCACTTTTTCTAAAAATTTCACTTTTTCAAAAAATTTCACTTTTTCTAAAAATTTTACTTTTCCGGAAATTGTGAACTTTCTTAAGAATATGAATTTTTTTCACAATTAGACTTTTTTAAAGAATATCTATTTTTTATTTATTTTTTTATCAATTTGTATAAAATATTTGTCTTTTATAATAAAACTTCTTCTGTGAGTCCTGAGAAAAACGTCCTTTCTGAGAAAATACTTCATAAGAGGCGCTTTCACACCGGAGTACTTTTCCCAGGAATAGTTCCGATAGTTCCTGGGATTTTGGGGAGAAAAAGGTTCCAATTTCTGATTGGCTGGGCGAAATTGCAAACCACCCGTAAAACTCGGAAAAGTTTTTTGTGAAGCCGTCCTTTTATTTGCTGGCATTAGCATTATTAACATTAGCATTAGCCCAGCGCACCAACGGAGAGAGACTAACTTATGGCAACACAAAATAAAACGTGGGAGCGGTGGAGTGATGAGGAGGGTGTCGGCGCTTCTGTCGATTTACCCAGGACTCCGGGTGGCAGTATACGCCGTGAAGTGGTTTGCGGCCTGCCAGTAAACCCAAAGCAGAAGAAGAAGTGACGTCAGCGGCTTCATTTGCGTAATCCTCCCTCAGGGAACTTATTCTGGTGTGAACGCGATCTACTACGACAGTTACAGACTAAAGAGTTCGGCGGGACTAAGTACCGGGAACTAAGTACCGGGAACTAAGTTCCGGGAACTAAGTACGGCAAAGTACTTGGTGTGAAAGCGGCTATTGATGTGTGATCAAGATTTTTCATTTTAATTTAATTTAATTTAATAAAACGCAGGATATATTTGTTTGTCTCTCATATAGTTATAAATATAAAATCATATTTATTAACTCATTTTTTTTCTTGTAAATTTACCATTTTACTTTTCAGGGAGTATAATCTGTTCTCGTTAATGTACGTCTCTATGATAACGCCAGAAAGATTCCTTTGAAAGATTATTGATTTTATTTTTTTAAACGTACGATTTTTTAATACCAGATGATATTACAGGCTTTTGTCTTTTTGTCCATTTATGATTTAATAACATTTTAAATTAATGTAGTGTATTAATCTCAGAGAATAGGCTTTTTATTTTATAGAAATGTATAATAAAATTCAAGTTTAGTTCCCCTTTCATTTTCTATTTTTATCTCAAAGTTACATTTTCTTTCTCTTTTATTCATGTTGTTATCTTAAAGAATATTTGAGTTTTTTATGAGGAATATAATTTACCCACTATGTCCGTTCTCTAAATAAAGTCTTATTTTCTGAGCATCAGTGTAATATTTAACGTGAACAGCATGAAGTGTTTCACATGTTCAGTCCCAGATAATAATATAATATATAATATAATATATAAACCCCAGCAGCAGAGTTCTGTGTTTTAATGACGCTGTCCTACTTTCTGTGAGACATGAATAATACATGCTGCATCAGGAGTGTGTGTGCAGCGTGACGCAGATCTGACCTCGTTAAAGAGTCTCCACACACACGCACACACACACACGCACACACACACGCACACACACACACGCACTCACGCACGCACGCACGCACGCACGCACGCACGCACACACACACACGCACACACACACGCACTCACGCACGCACGCACGCACACACACACACACACACACACACACACACGCACGCACACACACACACACACACACACACACACACACACACACACTCACGCACGCACGCACTCACGCACGCACGCACGCACGCACGCACGCACACACACACACACACACACACACACACACACACACGCACACACGCGCACACACGCACTCACGCACGCACGCACGCACGCACGCACACACACACACACACACACACACACACACACACACACACACACATACACGCCTTCTGTAGTTTACAATGAAATCACAAATCAAACATACATGTGTGGATAATCCAGAGGCCTTCAAACATTACATTCATGTTTTATAATCTTAAAGAACATTTGAGTTTTTTTATGATGAATATTAGATTTGATCTTAATTTACCTCTGTTACATATTCTTCACTTAATCCTGCATTTATGCTTTTATTCTGTGTGTGTGGTGTGTGTGTGTGTGTTGTGTGTGTTTGTCTGTGTGTGTGGTGTGTCTGTGATTTGTGGTGTGTGTGGTGTGTGTTGTTGGTATGTGTGTGTGTGTGTGTGTGTGTCTGTGTGTGTGTGTATGTGTGTGTGTGTGTGTTTGTATGTGTGTGTGTGTGTGTGTGTGTGTTTGTATGTGTGTGTGTGTGTATGTGTGTGTGTGTTTGTATGTGTGTGTGTCTGTGTGTGTGTGTGTTTGTCTGTGTGTGTGTGTGTGTGTGTCTGTGTGTGTGTGTGTGTGTGTGTGTTTGTCTGTGTGTGTGTGTGTGTGTCTGTGTGTGTGTGTGTGTGGTTTGTCTGTCTGTGTGTGTTTGTCTGTGTGTGTGTGTGTGTGTGTCTGTGTGTGTGTGTGTAGGGTTTAGTGCCCAGCAGACATCGTCTCACCATGTGTCAGCTGGCCGTGCAGTCCTCTGATTGGATCAGGTGAGAATATACCTTTACTCTGTTTATACTATACATATATCATATCATAAAAAACCTAAAAACATGAAGAACTCAGTATAAGAATAGTCTAAGAAATAAACAAAATGGCATTTCAATGGTTACAATTCTGAAATATAATAGATATTTATTGATAGTTGTGTAGCTGTGACTTTAATGCAGTGTGTTGTGTGTGTTTGTTGCAGGGTGGACCCCTGGGAGTGTTACCAGGACACCTGGCAGACCACCTGCAGCGTGCTGGAGCATCACCGAGACCTCATGAAGGTGAGCACAGGAACATTTACTACATTATATATATCAGGGATTTAAGGACTGCAGTGGAGGGGTCTTCTATGGTGCGTTCACACCGGAGGATTCACGTCGCTCGACCGCGGCATCATGGGTGTTTACTCACGTCACTCAAACAAGGCAGGATACAAACAACGAAATGAACATATTTTTATGATTAAATTGTACTACAAGTATCAAAATGATACACTTGTAGAAATAACTACATATTGGACCGGTTTGTAAATACCATAAATGAATGCTTTGGAGAGTGTGTCCACAAGATGGCAGCAAAACACTTTAAACTCCACACTCACAGTAACGTCCTACAGAAGTAAAGACAGTGTTCTCCACAGACAGTCTGTGGTTAGTACATCTATAAACTCTGATGATTCTCCAGTTTCTGAACAGATATGAGGAGCTGTGAGCTCTGTGAGCTGTGTGCTAACAGCTAACGGCTAACGGCTAACGGCTAACGGCTAACGGCTGCTGTTGGGTTTCTGATTCAACACCGTCAGTGACAACAGGCTCAGACTCTCAACGGTGATTGGCTTTCAGGGACAGCATCACGCTAATTTATTACTCGAGTTGATATTCACTCCCGTGAATGAAGCGGTACGCGTCATTCGCTCCATTCTCTTTCGGGTAATCTTCCACGCCAAAAACTCGCTTCGCCTCCGATGTGAACGTACCTTAATGGCGCAGTTCCACTGCAGCGCGGAGCTCGCTTTAAGCGTGCCGTGTCGTGCCGTCCCCTTTTTGGTTGCGCTTCCACTAGGCCAATTACCGGCGCGGCACGGCGCGGGGCCACTTTTTCACCTCTTTTCTGGCCCTAGAAAATTGTGGTTCTTTCCGGGCCAACAAACAGGGCTGAGTCGGGCTGAGTATGCTAAACTAGAGAGAGGAGCGCTGGCAAGAGGGCTAGAACTACAACAAGATGGACATATTTGACCGTGATTTAATTGTAATACACGTTTCAAAATGATGCCGAAGTAACAACATACTGATACCGGTTAGTAAAAACCATGAATTAATGCTTTGTCAAGTCTGCAGACAGACAGCAGGCGAAAAACCTTTTAAAATTCGTGTTTTTCTAGATGGAGATTGGCTAAGCTAACGCAGTATATGCCCCGACCGTCCACACTCACAACAACGGCCTATACAGACATAAATACAGCAGCGACTGTATTCACCATGACACAGACAGTCTGTGGTTTGTACTTGTTTAACTTTTGTCGAGTTTCTGAACATATATAAGGAGCTGTGAGCTCTGAGTGCTAACAGCTAACGGCTGTGTTGTGTTTCTGGATTTCTCATTGAAGATGACGTCACGGCTCCGCCTACACTGCGTTACTATAGTAACTACCCCAGTTCCTAAACTGTAATGGAAGCGCAGCATGAAGTGAGTCGGCCCTGTTAAGGCCTAACGCGGCCAAGCCGTACCGAGCCGTACCGAGTGTGGCCGAGGCCGACCGTGTAGTGGAAATGCGCCATAAGTGTCTTTCTGTGTCTGTTTTGATCCTGATGATCTCTGGTTCCTCAGAGAGTCACCGGTTGCATCCTGTCCAACGTCAACACGCCGTCCTCAACTCCTGTGATTGGTCAGCCTCAGAACCAGACTCCGCCCCCCTATCTACCAGAACCAGAACAACATGAACCACAAGCCCACAGCCAGTGAGTGTTCTGGAAGAAATATGGTCTGTGTTTACATTAGCATGCTAACACTCAGAGCTAACCTGTGCTGGAGAGAGTCTGTACAAAGAAGCAGGAAATGAAAAGGAAGTCACCTTGTGGTAAACCTGAGAGAGAGAAAGAGTTTGAGCTCCATACTGTTTCAGAGAGAATCCTTCATGTGGTTTGGAACATGATATGGAGGTTAATCCGGGCAGCAAGCTGAGTTTCTGCTGGGAGAGTTCTCCTGATGAGATCTTTTTTATTTTTAAAGCTACTGTATTTTGAGCAAAACACTTCAGAGACATGTTTTTTATATATTTGTATATATCTGAGACCTATAATATATGCCTAAAAATAGTAATGAGAGTCTGAACTTGTCTCTGTCTCAGTCAAACTGTGGGGGAAGGTGAGTGAGAACCTGGGGAAGATCTGCTGCGTTCGCCCTCACATCGACCGCTTCACCTTCATCGGTAAGTCAGAAACATCTCACCGACCAGTTTGAGTTTAACATCTCGTCAGCATCCGTCCTTTCTCCAACCCAGTTCAGATTTAACCACGCCCACTTCCACACGACGAAACATCAACACCGCGTTTTCATCCTGAATCTGAGCTACAGTCGCTTCATAGAGCATCTTTCTAAGAGCAGCGTTTATTACTTATGGAAGACGATCACAGTTATGCAGAGTTAATGAATCAAATGAACATATATACATATTTTGGTCATATATACATATTATATATATTTACATGTATGTGTGCCGGTAAAAAGTTATTGTGAAAACAGTGTATATTTTATGTACAGTACTTTATGTGTTATATAGCCCAATATCACAACTTTACATGTGTCTCAGGGGGCTTAACAGTCTGGAAAAAGTCCCAAAGAAACCCCCCGGTTAATACGATACGATACGATATTACTTTATTTGTCAGATCAAGTCTGAAATTTGACTTGCGTTAATGGGTAGAAATTGGAAGAAACCAACAGAGGAGGGATCCTGCAGACCTACGTTAATGTGTAAGTGGTCGCGGTTAAATCTAAACTGGGTTTGAACAACGACAAACGCCTCCCGATGTTGAGCTTCATCCGATATACATGTTTGCACTCTGAGGATTCACTGATTCACGTTTCTGTCTCGTGTCTAAGATGAAAACGCTAACCTGGGGACGGCGATGAGATACGAGGAGATCGGTGAGTCGTCTCTTCAGGAAGTGAACCCTCAGTGTGGTGACTTCCTGTCTGAGCTCCTTCTGGTTTGTTTCTATCCGGTAAACATGTTGTTTACTGAGTAAACATGTGTTTGTTTACTGAGGTGTGTGTGTCTCTTTCCTCCCGCCTGTTTGTCGTCTGTAGAGTTACGCATCTTGCTCCTGTGTGGCAGTGATCTCCTGGATTCCTTCTGCATCCCTGGCCTGTGGAAGGACAGTGATGTAAGCCCCGCCCCCATCCAACGTGAAGCCCCGCCCCCTCTAACATGTAGTCCCGCCCCCACCCTATATATCGTCACACCCCTTAGCGTTGTCCTCTAAACGCCCCCGATAACAGAGTCCTGCAGGAATGTCGAACTCTCTGGTCCAATGGGATTTCTCATGTGATTTTGGATTATGTCTGGAAATAATCTGTCAAACAAACATTTATGATACTTACACGTTTAGTTCAGCAGATTATCTCCACATATTAACACCACTTTATGATTTGTGGCTAATGTTGGGCTATAAAGGTACTACAGCACGGTCACATGACTTCACGTCACCACCGCTAAGCTAAAGGTGGCTAATGTTGGGCTATAAAGGAACTACAGCACGGTCACATGACTTTACGTATCCACCACTAAGCTAAAGGTGGCTAATGTTAGGCTATAAAGGAACTACAGCACGGTCACATGACTTCACGTCACCACCGCTAAGCTAAAGGTGGCTAATGTTGGGCTATAAAGGAACTACAGCACGGTCACATGACTTCACGTCACCACCGCTAAGCTAAAGGTGGCTAATGTTGGGCTATAAAGGAACTACAGCACGGTCACATGACTTCACCACCGCTAAGCTAAAGGTGGCTAATGTTGGGCTATAAAGGAACTACAGCACGGTCACATGACTTCACGTCACCACCGCTAAGCTAAAGGAGGCTAATGTTGGGCTATAAAGGAACTACAGCACGGTCACATGACTTCACATCACCACCGCTAAGCTAAAGGAGGCTAATGTTGGGCTATAAAGGAACTACAGCACGGTCACATGACTTCACGTCACCACCGCTAAGCTAAAGGAGGCTAATGTTGGGCTATAAAGGAACTACAGCACGGTCACATGACTTCACGTCACCACCGCTAAGCTAAAGGCGGCTAATGTTGGGCTTGATGACGTTTAGTCGTCTCATTTAGACACTTGTTACTAACCTCTGTTTTTAAATCCTCCAGTGGGGTATTTACTGACGTATTTTTTGTGGTAGATCAAAGCGTTAAAATCTCTTCAGCTCGTGTTAACCACAGACCTGATTTCAGGATAACAACCAAAATCACATTCAGGAAACCATTGACCTCCAGACCAGGGGACAGGAAGTGATGAAATGTTTGGGTTTAGGAATCATTCCTGCAGCTCTATAAGAACCTAAAAGGTTATTTGGATGTGATTGACAAAGTAAACAGACGTACAGAAAGAAGCTTTAGCAGGTCGAGTCAGATCTCTGTCAGATATCTGCTGAGTGGTGAGTGTCTCTGGTTTCAGATGGAGGTGATCGTGGGTGATTTTGGGATCGTGGTGGTTCCTCGTGACGGAGCGGACACAGAGAAGATCATGAATCACTCCTCCATCCTGCGCAAGTTCAAGGTCAATAACACTGATTCACACACACTCACTGCACACAGGAAACAAGCATGTACAGTTATTGTCTTTCTGTTATCAAACTTCATTCATTAAGAAATCAGAATCATGACGGAGTTATTTCTGCATCATTTTGATCCGTTTATTGTAAGTTAGGCCTATTCCACACAAACACTTTGCCTTTTTTTTAGGCATTTTGGCTTTTAGTCAACACCCAGCTGGCCTTTCAGGTCATTGAAGACTGAGCTATTGGGAAACTCTGGCCAGGGGGAAACTTCAATAAAAAAAACGTAGACATGTACATGATTGCTCAGTTTCCATTTCAATTGCAGACTATTCCAGGACAGTGGAGCTGCGCATCTAAATGCTATCTTCCCTAAGACAGTCCTAGCAGTTGGCACATTTAATAAAACCATAGCATGCGTAATGGTGACTAACGTACTGAGGTCGACAGATTCAAACTCCCTGCAGCTTCAGAAAGGATGCAGATATAAAAACCTCTTCAGCAACTTGACAACACATTCAGCATTTAGAGAACATTCAGCAACTTGAGGAAGCATGCGCCTGTTAAGCCCCAAAGCCCCCGTCGGCGGGTCTTTTTTTTCTCCACAAATTAAAAAAAAAAAAAAGTATTTTTTAAATTTTTTATTAATTGTTTTTATTTTAATTTTTTTTCTTTGGATGGAATGAATACCTATGGTGATAATTCAATGTAATACATCATTTTTATAGTCTGGTACCTGAAAAAGGTCAAATGGCACTGATGGAACCAGATATACCCAAATGTGCCGAAAGCTTATTCCGCCTGGAACTTTTTTTTGCTAAAACTCTCTAAAAAGGTCAAATTTAACTTGTTTTGCCTCAATCTTGATACAGGGTACTTATTATATGTTATAATTTGGATTCCTAAAGCTTTTAGTCTACCATCCCATCATTCAAGGGTGGTTTTCACTAGGGGCGTCGCCTGGACCTGAAAACATTCGGGGCTTAGCCCACAGTGGCGGCGGCACTACAGTGGCATTTTTTACTGCAACACTCCCCACACGCACACACACAGTACACCCGCGACTGTTACAATGAAGGCTCGATAATCAGCTCACGGCATATAGGCAGGGGTAAAGTGGTATTTTTTATGAGTGGGGGGCTCACCTCCTCTAGGGGGGTCCGGGGGGATGCTCCCCCGGGAAGATTTTTTTTTAAATATTGAAGTTAAAAGCATCAATCTGGTGCACTTTGAGAGCAACATGAAGAGATCTATGGATACCTCTCTCAACACCCATATGAAACAGAACTGTAAACAGATTTACTTTTTCTTTATGGATATTTTACTAATCACTCCCCTTTTAAACTCTATTCTTGTTTTACTGCCATATAGTATTTCATAACTATTTTTCCTTTATTCTCTTATTTTTTAATAACTATAATGATCATATGAAGGTGTGCCGCGGAAATAATCTTTTGAATAATTTGTGACCAAACCGTTTGAGACCCACTGAGATAACTTAGACTAAAGTTATGTATCTAAACACTCAGAGAGTCCTTTAGCTCACCTGAGTCTCTCAGTCTGAGAGGAGAGGACTCTCCTCCAGCTTCTTGTGGAACAAACAGCTCCTTATGTCCGTTAGTGCAGCTAGCTAACCAGATGCTAACAACACGGTCCATGCTGGCACCGGTCCCTCCCTCCCCCTCTCTCCCTCTCTCCCCCTCTCTCTCTCTCTATCACACTAAATGCGATATTGCCACACACACACACAGAGCCGAGCTTGAATGACACAAGCACACGTTTATTTCCATGCAACTCTCTGATTGGTCTGGTGTCATGCCTCTGTTGCATTCACTGAACACGGGAAATTACAGTGCTGCCGTCCTCTCTTGTGTCATGATGAGGTTCACGTAAAGCACGGTTAATGTATTATATTATTGAGGGAGAATTGTCCGGGGCTACAGAAAAAACATTCGGGGCTAAAGCCCCGGATGCCCAGGCCAGGCGACGCCACTGGTTTTCACTATAAGTAATGTTTTTTCTTTAGGCGGAGGTAAGAATTTACCTTTTTTTTACTATGTTCCATCTGAATTTACTCTGACTGAGAAACATCTATATTGATTCTGACACTTATACATCCAACTCACAGATGTAACCTTGCTTTGATAAAAGAAATTATTCCTATAACCCTTTTAGAAGTGAAGTTGTAGTCATTTGTTTTGGACATGTCATTTTCGAGCCTGAAACCTGAAAAACAGGCTCGGGGCTTAACAGGTTAAAACCTGCAGAAACCAAACGCTGCAAATACAGAACGCTGCTCCAGTGTGAAGACCCTCCTGCCTTTGGTGTGAACACGGTGTTAATCTCTGGTTCCCTCTGAGGTTCATTGTGTCCCCGTTAGAAACAGCATCTCATCTGGTCTCTGCTCTGTTTTCAGGACAACATCACGGTGGTGAAAGATGAAATCAGCCACCCGATGTCCATCGTCAGCTCCACCAAGAGCAGGTGGGGTTAACGTCTGAGATGGTGTTAATGTTAGGAAGTTATTATTCTGCTGTCCAAAGCTTCAGTACAGACAGAGGGTCATTATTGAAGAGGTAGAAAATCCTCTTTATTTACAGGTTATTCAGTTTGAGTAAAAACATTTGGTGTCTTAGGTTTTTATTTCACTGAAGGAAAACAGCTGATTCATAACTTTTCCTCCGTAGAGTAATTGCAGTTTATAAAGCAAATATTCATTTGACAATAAAACCAAAAACATTTTACCGAACACAACAACTGGGGGTGGGGGGGGGGAATTTGTAATATTTGGGGGAAAAAGCTGTACTTTTTGGAGTAAAAACTCAAGTCTTTTGGGGGAAATGCTGCTATTTTTCAGGGTCAAAGAGTTTTCATATTTTTGAGAAAATGCATTAATATTTGGGGGAAAGAAAGTCGTAATAATTAATGAAAAAGTTGTTATTTTCTGCTGAAAACACTGTAAAAGTTGGAGGAAAAGGTAGAAAGCATGTTGTGTAAAATAATCTGTATTAAAACCATCTCCCCCTCAGACTGGCCCTTCAGCACGGAGACGGCCATGTTGTGGATTACCTGAATC